CCCCCATCCTGTGCTATCCCCCCCCTGCAGGTCCCATGTGTGACCTGCTCTGGTCGGACCCCCAGCCCCAGGTGAGCTGCACCCCCCGCGCCGGGGACGTCCCCTGGGGGGGCCTGGGGACACCCCCCTGTGCCATGGGGACATCTCTCTGTGTCCTGGTGCCAACCCCCTGTGTCCTGGGGCTACCACCCTGTGTCCTGGTGACATCCCCCTGTGTCCTGGTGCCACCCCTCTCTGTCCTGGTGACATCCCTCTGTGTCCTGATGACATCCCCTACCCTGTCCTGGGGGCACCCCCTGTGTCCTGGTGACATCCTTCTGTGTTCTGGGGTCCTGGTGACATCCCTCTGGGGCCACCCCCCTGTGTCCTGGTGCCACCCCTGTGTCCTGGTGACATCCCCTGTGCCCTGGTGACATCCCTCTGTGTCCTGGTGACATCCCCTGCCCTGTCCTGGGGTCCTGGTGACATTCCCCTTTGTCCTGATGACATCCCCCTGTGCCCTGGTGACATCCCTCTGTGTCCTGGTGACATCCCTCTTTGTCCTGGGGTCCTGGTGCCACCCCTCTCTGTCCTGGTGACATCCCCTGCCCTGTCCTGGGGTCCTGGTGCCACCCCTCTCTGTCCTGGTGACATCCCCTGCCCTGTCCTGGGGTCCTGGGGCTACCCCCTTGTGTCCTGATGACATCCCTCTGTGTCCTGGTGCCACCCCTCTGTGTCCTGGTGACATCCCCCTGTGTCCTGGTGACATCCCCTACCCTGTCCTGGTGACATCCCCCTGTGTCCTGGTGACATCCCTCTGTGTCCTGGGGTCCTGGTGACACTGTCCATCCCCTGCTGACCCTGTCTGTCCTCCCTGTCCCCCCTGGTGTCCCTGGTGACACTGTCCATCCCCTGCTGACCCTGTCTGTCCCCCCTGTGTCCCCCCTGTCCCCCCCCTGATGTCCCTGGGTTCCTGGTGACACTGTCCATCCCCTGGTGACACTGTCCATCTCCTGCTGACCCTGTCTGTCCCCCCTGTCCCCCGGTGTCCCTGGTGACACTGTCCATCCCCTGCTGACCCTGTCTGTCCCCCCTGTGTCCCCCCTGTCCCCCCTGTCCCCCCCCAGAACGGGCGCTCGGTGAGCAAGCGGGGCGTGAGCTGCCAGTTCGGGCCCGACGTCACCAAACGCTTCCTGGAGCGGAACCGGCTCGAGCTCATCATCCGCAGCCACGAGGTCAAGGCCGAGGGCTACGAGGTGGCCCACGATGGCCGCTGTGTCACCGTCTTCTCCGCCCCCAACTACTGGTGAGGGACAGCGGGGACAGCGGGGACACGGGGACGGCGGGGACAGGGGGGACGGTGCGGTGGCCGGGAGCTCGCGGAGCCACTTTGGTGACCTCTGAGCCACGGGGTCCTCTTGGGCTGGTGTCACCTGAGCCACGGGGTCCCCTTGGTCTGGTGTCCCCTGAGCCACAGTGTCCCCTCAGTCCAGTCCCCAGGTGTCCCCTGAGCCATGGTGGCCTCTTGGTCTGGTGTCACCTGAGCCACGGTGTCCCCTCAGTCCAGTCCCCAGGTGTCCCCTGAGCCACAGTGTCCCCTTGGT